AGTCCACAAAGAAATGCAAAAAATACTGAAATGCTCTTTCAAGAAGACACCAGAAATTCTGCTTTTGGGATTAAAAGTGGAAGAAATCAATACGACTAAAAAGACCTTATTCTGGTACTTAATTACAACTGCGAGAATGATTTATGCACAATTTTGGAAAACAGAGAAAGTACCAGAAATTGAAGACTGGATACAAAAAGTTCTGTTCATGGCAGAAATGGATAAAATTACGAAAAAGTTGAATAACAAAGAAGATGACGTGTTTTTTGAAGAATGGAGTGACTTTAAAATATATCTGGAAAAGAACTGGGATGTGAAGCAAAATTTAATATGTTTAGAGCAATATTAAGCCAATTGATGTTATCTTAAGATTGTAATTATAAGAAAATGATATAACTGATGATGTAAAGTAATGTGGAGCGGGGGGGAAGCATTGCGGGAAGCCACTGGAGGGAGGGGAGGAAATGGGAATGGGGTAGACAATGGAAAGGATGAAATGGTTTATTTCTATATGTTGAATTCCTAAAAGAAAAAGAAAAATTTGTTTACCAAAAAAAAAAGAAAGAACCACCTCGGGAGGTGGTTCTTTTTTGGAGCGGAGCAACGCTGGAAGGGACGGAACCGGGACGGATCCGGCACGCTCCCCAGATGTTGAGGTGGGATCGCACCGGTTTGCTCCGCCCCCGTTCCGTCCCGCTCCTGGCCCAACTGGGCTCGTATGAACAGGGCCAAAGATTGTCATTTGGAAAACAAATGGATGTGCGATGTATTAACCGCATTTATTATATATTTTAATATTAACAATCATGTATGTGGAGTATTAATGAATAATAATGAAAGTGTACTGTAACAGCTGTTGTTGTACTTTTTAGAATCAACAGTATATTGTCAATAAGTCACCAAGAGAAATGAATTGTTGAAGGACAGTTTATGTAAGGTTTCATACTATTTTTATTCTTATCTACATTATATATTTATACACAGATATAGTTTTTAAATGAGATTTGTATTGTTGTATTTGATAAGGTACACCTCCTTGTTCAGAAGAAGATCATTGTTGAAACGGCACATCATTCCGGAGACCACCGTCTACTACATTCACTATTTATATTACTCAATTTCTGTTATTGTATATTATGATTTATGAATATATTATTAAGCACTAAATTGTCACAGTTCTTTTCCATTTTTCATTTAACCGCATTTAAACCATAAGCTGTGGTGGCTCAAGTGGTTAAGACTCTGAACTGCAGGCTGTGGAAGGTCGGTAGTTCAGCAGTTCGAGACCCGAGTGTGCTGCATGACGGAGTGAGCTCCTGTCCCTAGTTCCAGCTCCTGCCAACCTAGCAGTTCGAAAGCAAGAAATTGCAAGTAGATAAATAGGTACCACTTTGGTGGGAAGGTAACAGCATTCTGTGCGCCTTTGTGTTTAGTCATGCCGGCCACATGACCACGGAAACGTCTTCGGACAGCGCTGGCTCTTCGGCTTGGAAACGGAGATGAGCACCGCAGCCCTAGAGTCGGACTCGACTGGCTTTCGAGCAAGGGAAACCTTTACCTTTACTAACCATAAGTACCCCGCAAGCACAGAAAGCAGTTCTGCAAACCCAACTGGCTGCTGTGAAAATCTAATGAGAAGGCCCTGATGAAAAGATGGAGTTGATATGCAGATTAGGGGAGAGGGGGACGGGGTTGAAAATAGAGTATGAATATGCCCTTGTCTCTTGCATGTCAGCGAAGGCTCTGTCTGATCTGGGAGTAGAAGACAAGCTGGGAATAAACAGTCAAAGTCCTTCTGTCCTTCTTCCTGGCTCCCTCCCGTTGCCTCCCTCCCCTCACAAACAATAATCTAGGCCACTGATCTGGCCCACTTCTTTGACAACCGTTCTCGTTTCCCCTCGCCACTTCTTCTTTCCACTTGAAAAATCAGAGAGGATTTTGCCATAACTGTCAGAAAACAAGATACAAACTTGGAGGCCTGAAACAGAACTTATGGATTTCAAGAGCCCTCGAGTCCAAAGTAGCTCACAGGCCTCTCGCTTTCCCAGTCGCTGAGGTAAATTTTATGTCCTGCAGATTTCCCCTGGGAATGTTTTGAACCCCATCATGGAGTTCTCAGCCTGCTCCCCAGGAGTGGTTGAGTTAGGAGGATGAGGGGAAGACCACGGAGCGATCAGGTTACCTGCATTCCTGGATGCTTGAAAACAGACTATAATGTTATGGGCTTTCCTGGCTTTCCTTTTTACTAAACTACATAGCCTCAATCTGAAAGAAATTTAGAACGTTTTTTCTTTATAAGTTATAACAGCCACAAGGTTGGTATTCGCTGAACCTTGGAAGCAGAAAAGAATACCGACATGTAGAGCTTTTTTGTTGTCGTTGATAAAATTAAAGAATTGTGTTGACTAATAAAGCGATCAGCGTTACAAAAGAAAAAGAGAGGATTTTACGAACGCTGAACTTATCCGGTCGTCTGTACTAAGGCATATGGAACAGAATATGTGATTATATTTATTTGTCTGGCTTTGATCAAAGATAATTATGTTTACATTTTGCTTTAGAATTGTATTTAGCAATTAAGCTGTCTGGATTTATATGTATTATTAATTTACTCTGATCTTCTAAAAATGGTTGGACTTTATGTATTATATTTGTGTATTATGGGAGGGAAGGCAGCGTGGTATAGCCCGATCTCATCAGATCTCGGAAGCTAAGAAGGGTTGGTACTTGGATGGGAGACCACCAAGGAGGACTCTGCAAGGGAAGGCAATGGCCAACCACCTCTGCTTCTCACTTGCCTTGGAAGGCCCTTGCGGGGGTCGCCATAAGTGGAGGAGGGGGAGGAGAGGAGATTGTATTTATATCCCGCCCTTCACTACCCAAAGGTGTCTCAGAGCGGCTTACAAACTCCTTTCCCTTCCCCTCCCCACAACAGACACCCTGTGAGGTGGGTGGGGCTGAGAGAACTCTGACACAAACGGCTCTTTTTCAAGGACAGCTGTGCCAGAGCTTGTGACTGACCCAAGGTCACATCAGCAGGTGCAAGTGGAGGAGTGGGGAATCAAACCCGGTTCTCCCAGATTAGAGTCCGCACACTTAACCACTACACCAAAATGGCTCTCCATGACTGGCTATGACTTGACAGCAATTTACACACACACACTCACACAAACACACACTTTATGTATTATACTTATAAACAGATCAAGAAAAGAAAATATCTTATTTGATACAGCTATTTACACGTATTGGGGCTACTCTCAACAGAAGTGTGTAAAGATGCTGGTTACAGTATTGATTAGCATGATGGTGTAGACCAATGAACGCACCTGAAATTGCCTTATATCGAAGCAGACCCTTGGTCCGTCAAAATCAGTATTGTCTACTCAGACTGGCAGCAGCTCTCCAGGGTCTTAAGTGGAGGTCTTTCATATCGCCCACAGCCTGGTCCTTTTAACTGGAGATGCCGGGGATTGAACCTGGGACCTTCTGCATGCCAGGCAGATGCTCTACCACTGAGCTATGGCAACCTACTTTTCCAAGCAACCATGCCATTCCAGTGCTTGAGTCGATGGCATTCTGGCATGCCCTGGCATATACATTCAGCTCCCCAAACTTTACTGAACTTTTCTGCTAGCTTACTTGTTGCTCATAATACTAATTTTTATGGTGTTAGTCAAGCTTATTTTGAAATACCTGCTCTGCGTAGCTAGTCTTCATGGATACCCTTGAACATGGAGGTTCCCTTTAGCCATTCCAGCTAATAACCATTGATGGACCCAACATGAATTTACCTAATCCCCTTTCAAAGCCACTTACTAAATTTGCCAAACTCCAGGTTTGACTCTTCCCCTAGAGATCCCCTAGAATTACAACATATCTCCAGACCACACAGATCAGTTCTGTAGAAAATGACTGCTTTTGTCCCTCCCTGAACCCCTCCCTCCGAAGATCCATGGGAGAGGCTGTGGCTCAGTGGTAGAGTAACTGCCTAGCATGCAGAAGGTCCCAGGTTCAATCCCTGGCATCTCCAGTGAAAAGATATAACAGTAGGTAATGAAGGAGGAGGAGGAGATTGGATTTATACCCCGCCCTTCACTTGGAGTCTCAGAGCAGCTTACAAACTCCTTTCCCTTCCCCTCCCCACAACAGACACCCTGTGAAGTAGGTGGGGCTGAGAGAACTCTTGACAGAACTGTTCTTGAGAGAACAGCTCTGATGGAACTATGGCTTTCCCAAGGTCATCCAGCAGCTGCAAGTGGAGGAGTGGGGAATCAAACCCGGTTCTCCCAGATTACAGTCCATGCACTTAACCACTATACCAAAGTGGCTCTTTCACTAGGAGATGTGAAAGAGCTCTGCTGAGACCGTGGAGAGCTGCTGCCAGTCTGAGTAGACAATACTGACTTTGATGGCTCGACGGTCTGATTCAGTATAAGGCGGCTTCATGTGTCCGTGTGTTCACCCCAAATCGCCACGAATTCCCCAACCCAGAGTTGGCAACTGTACCATTTACACTAGTGGTCAGAGGTCATTTCGGGGGGGATCGCGGGGGATCACAGTTCCCCCGGGTGAGGTACAGGGGGCGGGGCACATGACGAAGCCCCGCCCCTGCTTCCGGCCACCCCGCTTCCGGCCCTCATTCAGCCAGGAGGAGGCAGGAGAAGAGGGAAGGTAAGTTGCTTCCTCCCTGCCTCTCCCCACCCCTGCCTGCCTGGGGCCAGGGAGGGCCTTCGCGGGGCTTCCTTGCACTCCCGCCGGCCTTGCAGGTCCACCGCCGGGCCCCTCATGGGGCTCGGCAGTGGAGTTGCAAGGCCGGCGGTGGTGGCCGGGACCGTTGGGGGCGGGGTGTGTGGCCTTATGACGCACTTCCGGTGATGTCAGGGGGTGTGGCCTTATGACACTCTTCCGGTGATGTCAGGGTGTGTGGCATATGCTAATGAGTTATGCTAATGAGTTCCCCTAGCTCTTTTTCTACGAAACGACCCCTGCTAGTGGTTATCACCACCTGATGGGAGAAGACCTTCACACCAATGGCTTCCCAATTTTGCTCAGAGCTCCCATTGGCGCTCAGTTTGTCCTTGCAGGGGGCAACTGTGCCGCCACTTTACAGCTGCGCAGAAGAACCAGCTTTACAGAAGAACAGCCCCCCCCCCCGACTCATCCCACATCCCTGCACAAACCATCCCCAGCAAGGAAAGAAGCGACAGGAATGTATGTAAATCCCATCCAGAGGCACTGAGACGTTAGCCTGGGAACCTGACATGTAAATTAATTCCCTTGCTCATTTTACTTTAAAATCATGGCTAGCTGTCTGCCGCTGCATATGTGGGCGATGACTTTATTTTTGTGTTACCTTTTGGGCAAGGTCTAAAGCAGGAATCCATGCAGAATAAATGAAAAAGAGAGGAACAAATGGCACATATGTTGTCAAGATCCGGACATTGCTGTATGCTAAATGCACACCTCGTGGGGATTGGTTCTTCGCTTTCCCCTCTTTGACTCGTACCTGGAGAACAAATCTATGCAGCAGCTACAGTGAGGGAATTCGCACTGAAGATCCCCCTGGGGGTGTCAAGTTGCCAGCATCACAGCCCAACCTTACAGGGACCCCACAGCCTGGCCGTGCGCCTTGGGGATTGCCTTCTCCCCTATTAACCGAGGGGATGTTATCCCTGATTTTATTTTTCTCCAAAAGGCAAGGAAGACAGTTAATTATAGCTTAAGCTTCATATGCAGAGTTAATGAATTTTAACATGCACCAATTAATAACTAATTGAGTTTTGTGTCTCTGCAGCAAATGGAAGTGTGTGTGGGGGGGAGTATTCGGGGGGGAGTGGGTAGGAAGGGTCGGCTGCTTTAATTGGAATGCTCTTAGGAAAATTGTAATACACAGTTGGAAATGGAATCTTTCCCTTTGGTAAAGAAACAAAAATAACCAAATTGGTAAAGTACCCCCCCCAAGAAAAATGAGATGAAGGGATATTGGGGAGAGGAAGAGTGTTGCAAGAGGCAAGGGAAGACATGGGAAGGACCCGTCCTCCCTACAAGGTCTCTGACCTCCCGTGATTATTCCACGAGCATGATAGGGGAGGGGCCATGGCTCAGCGGTAGAGCCTCTGCCTGGCATGCAGAAGGTCCTAGGTAGGGTCTCCACCCGAAGGAGTCTCAGAGTAGTTTACAATCTCCTTTCCCTTCTCCTCCCCACAACAGACCCTCTGTGATGTAGGTGGGGCTGAGAGAGCTCTCTTCCGAGGACTGCCCTTGAGAGAACAGCTCTGAAAGAACTTATGACTGGCCCAAGGTCACACCAGCAGCTGCATGTGGGGGAGTGGGGAATCAAACCTGGTTCTCCCAGATTAGGGTCCGCGCTCCTAACCACTACACCAAACTGGCTCTGAACCCTTTACAGCTGTTGCAGCTGTTTTTAAATGCTGCACACACAAGAAAAGGTAGCGCCAACTGCACACTGGATTTTTTTAAAAAAATCAAACGAAACTTTCAGCTGTCCCTCCGTCATCACCACCAACGGCACGAGCACTATTAAGCTCTCCCCATGCCGACATTTTCCAGCAAGCTCTTCCAGATCAGCCGGTGGAATATCACGCGAGCCAAGAGGGAAGAGCTGAAAACAGGATAGTGACAATTTCACAGGATAATCACGTCAGAAGAACCGTAACTATTAAAGGCCAGCTCAGTCAGACATGGCGGGGGTTTAGATCATTGAAATCCCTCAGCTGGAAGACGGCAAATGCCGGAAAGCAATGCGGAGGCTGAGCAAAAGGATAAAACGGAACAAGACAAACGTGTGCCGCGGTCTACTGATTAGGGAGGCGATTTTAGAGACAAGCCCCTCCACACACACACTTCAGTGAGAAGTGTAGTGCTTCACATTGATGGGAGTGAGGGGGAACGGTGGAATGCTTTTATAATGTTTCAAAGCCCAGACTACCTCGATCTCATCCGATCTTGGAAGCTAAGCAGGGTCGATCCTGGTCAGTACTTGGAAGGGAGACCAATGTTCCCTCTAAGCTGTGGAGTCTTGTGAGCAAAAATTCTACTTTGTGAGCTTCTGGCATTAAAGCTGTGAGCGAGTGATTTGGCTACTGCATAAATTAGTTGGCTCTGGAGCCCTCCTTCCTGAGCGAAGATAAAAATATGTGAGCCAGAGGCTAAAAAATCGTGAGCTAGCTCACACTAACTCAGCTTAGAGGGAACACTGGAGACCTCCGAAGAGTACCGGGGCCGTGACACAGTGGCAGGCAACGGCTCTTACTTTGGAAACCCTGCAACAAGTCACCTGTGACTTGACACCCAAAAAAAAAAAAAAAAGGCAAATTGTTTTCTGTCCTTGTAGGAAATAATTTCTTGGCTAGATTGTTTGAGGACACAATCCAGCAACGTTTAGAGCGACTGGCAGATGAATCACTCCATTTCTCACTGCTTGGCCACTTGGAAGGTTCCCTCCCCTGGTTTGGGGCACACCCGTGGGGGAAACAAAACCACGTGTGAAGCAAATTCTAGACTGGAAGCCATGTCACTCTGTAGATGCAGAATAAAATGGGAGATTAGTGGCACCTTGGAACAATTTTTACCCAGCATCAGGGCTATTTTTGGGCAGGAACGCACAGGAACGGAGTCCCGGCTGGCTCCCAAGTTGGCCACACCCAGCAGGAACTCATTAACATAATAGGCCACACCCAACAGCAGAAACTCATTCAGATTGGCTACATTGGGGTGTGTGGCCTAACATGCAAAGGAGTTCCTGCTACAAAAAAAAGCCCTGCGTCTTGACAACAAACAAGGTAAACAAAATAAGAAGCAAAAGGTGGGTGTGTGGATGACCACACTTCTGGTAACATGGGGATGTGGCCTAATATGTTAATATGATGTGCTGTCAGGGGTGTGACCTAATATGCTTATGAGTTTCTGCTGTTGGGTGTGGCCTATTATGCTAGTGAGTTCCTGCTGGGCTTTTTCTACACAAAAAGCCCTGCCCAGCATAATATGCTTTTGTAACAGCTCACTTTATCAGATGCACGAAGTCAGTGCATATATACAACACAAAGATGATGGCATAGAATGTGATGAAGACAAATCCACTGAACACCAGAATCAATCCCAACAATAATCAGTTCATTCAGAATGGGTGTGGGCTCTTTCCACTTGCTGTTAGATAATCAAAGTAGGAATAATGTAGAATCTACTGTGAAATGAACAAACTAAGTAGATGAAGGAGGAGGAGGAGTTGTTTTTTATATCCCTCCTTTCTCTACCCGAAGGCGTCTCAAAGCAGCTTACAATCGCCTTCCCTTCCTCTCCCCACAACAGACACCCTGTGAGGTAAGTGAGACTGAGAGAGCTCTTTCAAGGACTGCTCTTGAGAGAATAGCTCTCAGAGAACTGTGACTGCATGTGGAGAAGTGGGGGAAACAAACGCAGTTCTCCAGATTAGAGTCCACTGCACCACACACCAAGAAGTATTGCTCCTGAATGTGTGAACTGATCCAAAGGAAGACCTCTGAGTGCAAAGGGACACGGAAGTTTGATCTGCGGCATTTGGTCTGTGATGGCTCGTTCGTGCATTCAAGCCCCCACCTGTGATGCACTTATCAAGAGAGAAATATGCATGTACCGACTACCCTTAGTGGCATCCAATTGAGATTAGGAGGACTGAACATTGATGAGCCGGTATAGAGGAATGGCTAAGAGAATGAGCTGTAATCTGGGAGCAAGCTACAATTTCACATCCTCGGCCCCATGTGGGAAGAATTATGCTACAAGCAGGGCTTACGTCAGGATACTTGGAGTTGGGGGTATCTGCCAGGGCCCAGGGATTCTGGCAGGGCCTGCTGACCTATGCTCCCTCTAAGCTGTGGAGGCTTGTGAGCAAAAATTATACTTTGTGAGCTACTGGCATAAAAGCTGTGAGCGAGTGATTTGGCTGCTGCATGAATTTGTTTGCTCTGGAGTCCTCTTTCCTGAGCGGAGACAAAAATGTGTGAGCCGATTCTTATAGCTAAGTGTTGGGAA